AAAGTTCACTGGTCCCACGTTAGTACCAACTGGTCCTAGGTGGTCCCTAATGGTCCCACACTCTTTCTTCCAGCTCTTGATGATAACGTCCGCTAAAACCACTTCTATCAAGTTCCACAAAAAAAATAAAACCCGCGATTGTCGATTCGGCCGGCACCGCTCGTCCTACTCACGCGCTCCGCTAGTCCCACTGGTTTCCTCTAGGCCAAATGCCAATGACCTTACTACCGTCGGCGTGTGCACAGACTGAAAATATTGCGTGCCATTCCACCTTGACAAGCCTCGTCCAGCCCACAAACTCGCCTGTCGTACCGCCACAATAGTCACACTGCAATTTCTTTCTTTACTGACATTGACGGCGAACCCCTTGACGTATCAAAAATATCCACCACTCTCCCTCCATTTAGTGTTGTCTAGCGAACCCCAATTTCAGCAGCATAATACCGCAAAAATGGTTGTCGTTGACGCCGAAAAAAGTCGGCAGCATTTCCCCTCAGAAATAGAAAAACAGTATGTCGAGGTTCGACCGCCGGTACCACCGCCAATGAAGTCCTGATGTCCTGCCGTTGCTACTGGAAACCACTGTCAAATTAATCAAATATTGGACCCTGGACAAAATCCAAGCCCAAAACAGCCTCTTGTTGTGCCGCGTTGGACCCGCAGAGTCCTGAGTCCTGCTTCACCGGACCAGTATTAGTCAGAGGGAAGTTGAGCAGAGTGCTCTCTACCCCGTCTATAGCTGCCCTGTTCCTCTCGCGCTCCACTGCAGACTTCCAGCCTCCTCCCACGTTGTCTTTGACAGCTTCTCGAGCAGCCCAGCAACACTCAAGTATGTTTGCCACACACTGGCAGCACAAGTGCTTTTTGTGTGGCAGCTGGGGACAACTGCCTGTTTTATAGTGGTTGACGAGGGTTGGACATCACTCCAGCCCCCAGACAAAATCGCGGGCTCACAGTGAGCCCTTGATCTGGCAAAGATCCAGGGCTAACTGTGGCCGCACCACAACCACATTCTTAGTGAGGGCAGTTTCTTTAACTACCCCCATTTCCTTTTCTTTTCTTTTTCCCCAGCTATCTCGGATTTTCACAAGATAGCTGGGGCGCCATCTGGTGCTTCGATTTGTTTATATATATATTTTTTCCAGTAATGCAGTCGTTGGCATAAGCCAACTTTATGCAAATGGCCACAGTCTCCAAATCCCACGCCTTGCTGGCATTTCCTCCCCCATGCCTTGTTGGCACCTTTCTCCTTTCCTTCCACTGTGCGCCATGTGCGAACCTGAGTTCGATTTTTGTAAAGGAATCGAAAAAAAAATAATTGGGGTCATTTCTCAATTTGTGCATGTCATACTCGCGCAGGGGCCATGCTATAGCCGCGCGACTGTTTTCGGTCGTGAGATCTATCGATCTCGCGGCCGAAATGGACCGCGCTTCATGCTTTCAAAAGGGGCTGCTCCAAAAGGAGCTAGCCTCAATGAGGCTCGTGCGATTTTGTTGGGTGAAAGTCGTGCGTTCAAACCTACTAGAATAGCTCCTTTTCCACGTTAAATAGGAGAAACTCTTCTTTATGAAGAGTTGTGCCCTGCGCAGACAGTCGGTCAGCGGCCTAGTAGGCCTCTGTTTGCCCAATCACTCAAACACAGTCGTCGGCCCCTGATGCAAGGGCACTCTCATTCCCATAGGTTGGGATGTTGACTTTCCATCCCATTGGCGCCAGTTCGTGTCTCCGCGGGGGAAAAATAGATCTAACGTCCGAATTTTTGCACCACAACTGTCAACATGACGCGGCCGCTGCTTCTAGCGTGCCTAGGCCCTGAATCGCGCGGCTCTGCAGCCATGCGACATCATTTTAAGTAGGATAGGTCTTTTAGGTTTAACATTCCCACGAGCATGTGCCTCCACGACCCTGCTAGAAACCACATTCGACTGGTCACACTACCGATTACCACCATTATTCTCTGATGTCAAAAGCGTCCGGGTTAAGGTAAAAGGTTATAATCTATCGGTTATAGGCTAGTATGAATAAACTTCTGGCAAACGTCAGTCTCATCAATTCCCTCAATTCAATGAAAAAGTCGGACAGCATCCGACATTGAAAAACACTTGTGCGGGGTCAAGAGTGCAAAAACACGCTTATTCTGAGACGTTGTTCGATTGGCGTCGTGAAGATCAACGCTGAACGATTTCTCGATCATGTTGAAGTGTGTTTTGGCAGTGTAGTGTTGCCTTTTCGAAACTTCTAGTTCCCTCTATTTGTCATCGTACGGTATCTCCCACTGATTTTCGACCTTCCCGTGCCAACCGATTTCGGTGGTCTGGGTGTAGGTGGGGTTCCTGAAGGGCTGAGTCTTTCGATCGAATGTGACCCGTTTGGTCATGTTCCAATTGTTCAACGATTCCTCGATCACATCGAAGTATGCTTTGGTAGTGTAGTGCTTCCTCCAAATTCTCTCGCTTCCTCCATTTGCCATTGCATGGTACCTTCCACATATTTCCAACCTACCCTTCCCGTGTCAATTGGTTTCAGTGGTCAGGCTGTAGGGGGGGTCCCTCAAGGGCTGAGCCCTTCGATTGTCTATGATCCGTTCGCTCGGGGGGCCCTTGCAGAGATGCATTTTTGTCTGTCCTTTTCGCCCCAGTTGTTTCTAATTTCTTATTGGTTGGTCATTGTCCCATTGGTTTGATTCGAGGGCTCAAGCCCAGTGGTTCTCTTTCATCCGTACCTCAGAAGTAGACGGGTTTGATCCTGTTGAGAGGTGACTGGGGAGGGTTAGGGAATAACTGTTCGATGCCCTATTCTTGGTTCTTGCTGCATTTTCCATACTCATATGTATATGTGTGTGTGAATCTGAATGCTTATGTGTGTGTGTACGTGTGTATCCGAATGCTTATTTTTGTCTATGTGTGTGTGTGCGTGTGTGTGTGTGTGTGTGTGTGTGCGTGTGTGTGTGTGTGTGTGTGTGTGTGTGTGTGTGTGTGTGTGTGTGTGTGTGTGTCTGTGATAGATAGATAGATAGATAGATAGATAGATAGATAGAGAGAGAGAGAGAGAGGGGGAGACAGAGAGAGAGAGAGAGAGAGAGAGAGAGAAAGAGAGGGTACTTCCATCGATAGGATAAGCAAAAATGAACCAATCTACCGCTAGAACATGGAAATATCGAGAGAGAGAGAGAGAGAGAGAGAGAGAGAGAGAGAGAGAGAGAGAGAGAGAGAGAGAGAGTTTTCCATTGATAGGATGAGCAACGCACCGGCCAACAGACAAGTCTCCACCCCTGGGATTGGCCTAACGCTACTTTCATTGATAGGATGAGCAAAATCGAATGAATCTTCCGCTAGAACATCGAAATATACACTACTACACGCGCGCGCGCGCGCGCGTGTGTGTGTGTGTGTGTGTATGTGTGTGTGTGTGTGTGTGTGTGTATGTGTGTG